TAGCCCCAGCTGTCCTGGAACTCACTGTGTAGACCAGGCTGCCTCTGCCTCCCCAGTGCTGGGACTAAAGGCGTGCACCACCACACCGGGCCTCTGCTTTATTCTTAAGAAATCAAATGATAAAATTAAATAGTCTGGTTGGAGCCACAGTTTCCCACTTGCAGTTGAAGTGCAAAATCCATCTTGAGTTTTAGTGGGGACTTATACAAATATTTACAAATGGTAACAACAGATAAAGATTAACATAAATAAACTGGTCGTTAATCTCATATACCAACTTGAATGGATTGTGAAATGGCTAAGAGATTAGTAAAGCACACCTCTAGGTGTGTCTGTGAAGTCATTCCCAGAGAGAATTAGAGGTTGAGGGCTCTGATCTAATGAATGATTTAATCCATTGAAAGAATAAAGTCTGAACAGATTATCAGAAAGTAGTAGGACGGTAGAAGGTAGGCCTGGTTGGAAGCTGTAGGTCACTGAGGACCTGTCCTTGAAGCCCACATCTTTTTTGTTTTTTATGTGTGTGTATGTGTGCCTGAGGGTATGTATGTGCGCCATGTGTGTGCAGGTGACCTTAGAGACTAGAAGAGGGTGTCAGATGTCCTGGAACTGGAATTATAGGCAGTTGTGTGCTGCTCAGGATGGGTGCTAGGAAGTGAATCTGGGTCCTCTGGAAGAGCAACACGTGTTCTTAATCTCTTGAGTCATCTCTCCAGGCCAATGGAGACTAAATCTTGCCCTGGCCCTGTGCTATTCCTGCAGGGTTCTGCTTCCTGGCTACCATGCTGGAAGCTTCTCTGGTCTATGACACATTCCCTGCCATGGTGAACTAAAAGTTCTGAACCATGAGCTAAAATAAGTGTTTCTCCTTTTATTTTTATTTTTATTTACTTGTTTTTATTTTATGTGTATATGTGGTTTTATGTGTACATATGTTTTGCCTTCATGCATGTAAGTGGTAATGGTTGCCTAGTCCATAATTCATGGCAAGACAAAAACACCATGGAAGAAGGGCATGATACAGGAAAGTTACCTATGGCAATCAAAAAGAAAGGGGAGAAAAATGAACAGGAAGGAGCCAGGGCCAAGATATACCCTTCAAAGGCACACCTCCAATTCACCTACTTCCTCCAACTAGTCTCCATCTTTCACAGTTCCTCCACCTCCCAATAGTCTATTCAAATTCTGAATCCATCATCAACAGATTAAACCACTGAATAAGTCAGAGCCCTCGTCATCTGATCATTTCTAGGTGTCTCTCAAGCTAATCAAATTGAAAATGAAGATCATAATTTCTAGTATCTTTGGATAGCAGGCTTTTCTTTTCCAGTGCTGGACACTGAACCCAAGGTCTCATGCATGTTAAGAAGATCTCTGCCACTGAATTTTAGTTCCAACGGCTTCTCTGAGGCAACTGACCCTATGTCACGGAACTATGAGAGTGGCTTCAATATCCACTAAGGGATCTTCTTAGGTTCAGTTAAATATTTCAGACTCATAAAATTGTCACAAGCCACATTTGGCACCAGTCTACTCAAATGTCAAACATGAACCACAGCTTGCTCTTAATTGCTAGGCTGTACCTGACTGCCTCCTGTCAGGTGAAGTGATCATGTAACTCATGTTGGCTATGGCGACTGATTCAGAATTGTGCATATGAGGGGCTGGAGAGCGGTTAAGAGCACTGTGCACCCATTTCGTGCAATGCCCGCAGAGGTCAGAAGAGGGCTTTGGATCCCCTAGAACTGGAGTTTCAGGCAGTTGTTAGCTGCCATGTGGGTGCTGGGATTCAAACCTGGGTCCTCTGCAAGAGCAGCCAGTGCTCTTAACCACTGAGCCATCTCTCCAGCCCCATAAATAAAATATTTTTAATTAATTGAGCATATGATCCAAACAGGACTAAACAGAACTGTTTGTGAATTCAAATACGAACATTTGGTGAGAGGATTTCTGTCTTTTGGTCAAAATCTATAAGGATATAAACTTGAGGCTATAAACAGATATTTTCCCACCACATCAAGAGTATACAGAGAACTAATGCCAAGAAGCAGACAGCCAAGAGTTGCAGAAAGAAAAAGAGCTGGACTCACCATGTTTGAAATGAGCAAGGCACACCCTCAATGATCTTATTTAGAAGGTAGCAAATTGCCTTTATTTTCCAGCCCAGATTAAGATGATTTTTTGTTACTGTGACAGGATTATAATACTTATTTATCAGTTATTATTATATATTTATTAGTTCCTTTTTCATTACTATTATTCCAAAGCTAGACTACTTCATAAAGTAAAAAATTTATCTTAACTCATGATTCTGGAAGTGCAGGGTATAGGAACCACATTGGGAATGACCTTCTTGCTGGCAGAGTCCAGAGGCAGCGCAGGAGTCATATGGAAGGAGACAGAGAGCCTATGTTTCTCCCTCTGCTTATAAAGCCATCAGGTTTTAATCACAGGGGCTCCACCCTAACGACCATATCTAATACTGATCATTTCCCAGAGGCCTCGCCTCCTAACACTACAGTTGGCTTAATACCATTACATAAAACTCCAGGGATTAAACTTCTGCATGAGTTTGAAGCAGCTAATCACATTTAAACCATAACAAGAACAAATTTACAAAAGGATCAGAGGTCTGTTCAATTTTAAAATGGCCTGTCTCTTTTACCCTTAGTTGCTGCAGAGCTTTGCACTTCTATACAGCTAAACAAAGTGACAGAAGATCCACCCCCAGAGAAAGTGTAACTCATGGGAGGTTTCTGAGTTAGCATAGATGAAGCATCTTTGCTTTCCAAGAAAAGAGCTATTGCTTTGAACTTTGAATGCCCTTTTTAGATGTTCTCATTAGGAAAAAAAAAAAAAAGTAAGAGCCAAGTCTCACAAAATAAGGATGTTTAACATAATCTATATCATAAATTCTTCAAATGACAGCTTAAAAAAGGATGAGGTGATAGCAAGAGGAGATAGAAATCTTTTCTTCCATCCAAGTACATGCGATTAGGCAAAATACCAAAGGAATTTCAAAGCTATACATATTATTTGTAATGTTTCTTATCATGTCACTTCAGTTTTTTAAAACTACCCAACCCATTTGAATTATGTTCAAGTAGGCCTCTATCCAGTGCAGTCTCAAGGGATTCCCTTTATTTGGAAGACAAGAAGATTTTTCCAGCCAAGAAGAGTGTCAGAGGCCCAGGCTTTAGGCCTGGGATAGGTTACCACATGTCCCTGGATCCCGAGGATGATTCCCTTCTTCTTCTTCTTTTCTTCTTCTTCTTCTTCTTCTTCTTCTTCTTCTTCTTCTTCTTCTTCTTCTTCTTCTTCTTCTTCTTCTTCTTCTTCTTCCTCCTCCTCCTCCTCCTCCTCCTCCTCCTCTTCCTCTTCCTCCTCCTCCTTCTTGTCCTTCTTTTTGTTAATGCTATGTGTTTTTAACCCTTTTCCCCAGTTCTTAAACAGCTTTTTAATAAACAGCAAAACATAACTGGAACACAATTTTAAACATTTATAAATTAGATCACGAAGAGGATGCAAAATGTTCGCAGT